AAATCTTCTTTTAAAGAACCCAAAGAGCTAGAGCTAAGATATTAAGCATGAAACATCTTCTAATGAGTGTCTACCAAGATTGTTCAAATAAAAGCCCTGATGTCAAAATTGGCCCCGCCCCAGGGGGTCATTGATTTTCCCTATATGCATATAGTAAAAACTTAAAAAATCTTCTTCTAAAAAACCCAAAGCCCTAGAGCTTAGATATTTGGCATGAAACATGTTCTAATGGATGTTTACCAAGTTTGTTTAAATAAAAGCCCTGGGGTCAAAATTGGCCCCGCCCCTGGGGGTCATTGATTTTCCCTATATGCATATAGTAAAAACTTAAAAAAATTTCTTTTAAAGAACCCAAAGACCTAGAGCTAAGATATTAAGCATGAAACATCTTCTAATGGGTGTCTACCAAGTTTGTTTAAATAAAAGCCATGGGGTCAAAATTGGCCCCGCCCCAGGGGGTCATTGATTTTCCCTATAGGCATATAGTAAAAACTTAAAAAAATCTTCTTTTAAAAAACCCAAAGAGCTAGAGCTAAGATATTTAGCATGAAACATGTTCTAATGGGTGTCTACCAAGTATGTTCAAATAAAAGCCCTGGGGTCAAAACTGGCCCCGCCCGGGGGGGGGGTCATTGATTTTCCTTATATGTGTATAGCAAAAACTTAAAAATCTTCTTTGAAAAAACCCAATGAGCTAGAACTTAGATACGTTTAGCATGAAACATCTTCTTATGGGTGTCTACCAGGTCTGTTCAAATAAACAAATAAAAGCCCTTGGGTAAAAATTGGCCCGGGGGTGGGGGGGGGCCTATATACAGGTGAGCGACCTCGGGGCCATCATGGCCCTCTTGTTTTATTATTTAGCTGCTTAAGTTTTTTCATTTTAACTGTTTATTTTTATCCTTTTCAAGCAGATATATTATCATTTTCATAGAAAAACAGATGTCTTATTTTTGTTTGTTTGTTTGTTGCTAACAGTAACATATATCATTGGGATATTCGATGACATTTATTCCGGTCACTTTCGGTTTCCAAAGTTAAACATATCGACTTTTGAAGTTTTATGTAGACGCAAAAACTCAGGCTCAAGTGTTAATTAACATGTGTTTTATGGAGGGTGTCAAGTGGATGACAACAATTTGTTGGGCTAGGTTGTGGATTTATTTTGTTTTGTCACAGTTTTTGCCCTTGACATGGGAAGTTTGAATGATTGTGCATGTTTATTGTTTTTCATTTTGCTATGGATTTTTAAATAGATATCTTTAGACGTTAAAGCGGATTTGACCCATGTAAAAAATAGCTTCAAATCCCCAGTTACGTCTAAATATTTGGACTAGATTTTTTCTGTTTCACGGTATTTTTCGACTTGGCGTAACCATTTTGAAGTCTGATACCTGCGTTGTAACTCCAGATCTGATCTGACAGACACCACAAATTGAATTCGCTCGTCCAATCAGATCGGTTACAACACAGGTATCAGATAACAAAAAATACCATGAAACAGATTAAAATCGATAGAATATCGATAAAATTGCATTTTTTTTCTTAGTCAAGGGGTCAAGTGGCAGGGTGGGGTGGGGTGTCCAAACAATGATACAGTCAGCTGTGTCTAAAACCAGGTGGTAAAACAACTTTCAATTCGTATTAAATCCGATGTTATTATTAATAATAGCCTAGATGTTCTGATTGTCTTGGAAGTAGACAGCGAAGGGCACTTGATTAGGAATCTGTAACAGTTTATTCACCAGAGAGGTCCTCGAAAAATGTATTACATCATCTTAACTACAATGTAAAGATCAAACACAAGAATAATTTTTTCACCATTAACCCTTTCCCTGCTGAAACCGAAAATAATTAGCTTTTGCCACCAGTAAAGAACTAGGTCAGACTTTACACCTGTGCCTCTTAACCAAGCTCTTTTCTGTCTGCAGCTCAATGCGACTGTTTCAGTATTTTGATTTTGAAATGAACGGACCTTTCGATATTCAAATATTGGCAAAGCAATATATTAGATAAAAAAAAGTTTATCCACTGTAATACGTATCAAAATTTAAAACAAAAAATATAGGACGAATCTTGAAAAGAAAATCTCGACACCTTTACAAACATCGTGTCAAACATAAAGGACAGCAAATAAATTGCTTGGGGTTTAATTTTCGTCGCAGTTTATGGCACATTGAACAATTCTATCATATGTTATAAGATGAAATGACAAGCATATATACATTTATACTCTAACTCGAAATATGATTACTGAGAGATATACCAACTACATGTAGCAATGAAAATCGAGCCCAGATCCTGGACGAACCAAATTGATAATTTCACTGTGATAATTTCACTGTTTTAAACAGTTTATTTAAACAGAGAACGGAGCGTTTCTGAAACTGGGTGACAAAAGTATGTTACAATATACGGATGAATCATATACAGAATTTACAGAATTGAAAAATAAAGGGGATATTTAAGATTTTTTAAAATATATAAATACAGGATTTATATATCGAAAGCTATGAAAATACATATTTCATGAGTGGCGGTAGCCATAAGTGATGTATGATATCATACCATAATTGTTATCTCTCTTTTTAAACATTAAAATTAATTGATAGACTTTCCCTTGAATATTGTGTAATTTTTATGATCCTACGACAGTTGGCCTTTTTATCCCCCGCCGAAAATTTTCGGCGGAGGATATAGAAATAGTCTCCGTCCGTCCGACCTTCCGTCCTTCCTTCCGTCCGTCCTTCCGTCCGACATTTTTGTCCGGAGCATATCTCTAAAAGTATTTGAGTTATCAACTTGAAACTTCATAGGTGGATAGACCTCATTGAGGAGGAGTGCAGTGCACAAGAATGATAACTCTACCTTGCATGATTTTTGAGTTATTGCCCTTTGTTATTTTTCAAAATTGATTTTTGTCCAGAGCATAACTCCTAAAGCCTATGAGATATTAACATGAAACTTCATAGGTGCATAGATCTCACTCAGGAGGTGTGCAGTGCTCAAGAATGATAACTCTACCTTTCATAATTTTTGAGTTATTGCCCTTTGTTTTTTTTCATACCTAATTTTTCACCTGAGTGGAGCATAACTCAAAAAGTGTTTGAGATATCAACATGAAATCTCATAGGTGGATAAATCTTATTGAGGAGGAATGTTGTGCGCAAGAATGATAACTCTTCCCTATACAATTTTTGAGTTATTGCCCTTTGTTTTTTTTTCATGCTATTTTGTCCAGAGCTTATCTCAAATAGTATTTGAGGTATCAACTTGAAACTTCAAAGGTGGATGGATCTCATTGAGGAGGAGTGCAGTGCTTAAGAATGATAACTCTACCCTGCATTATTTTTGAGTTATTGTCCTTTGTTATTTTTCAAAATTAATTTTTGTCCAGAGCATAACTCAAAAAGCCTTTGAGATATCAAAATGAAACTTCATAGGTGCATAGATCTCACTCAGGAGGTGTGCACTGCACAAGAATGATAACTCTACCTTTTATAATTTTTGAGTTATTGCCCTTTGTTTTTTTTTCATACTTAATTTTTCAATTCAATTTTTTTCTCAAAAAGTATTTGAGGTATCAACTTGAAACTTCATAGGTGGATAGATTTTACTGAGGAGGGATGCAGCACACAAGAATGATAACCTACCCTGCATTATTTTTCAGTAATTGCCCTTTGTTATTTTCAGCCATCAGTATTCACATAGGTTTCAAATCTGTAATCACTATAGCCATCAGTTTTCATTACCAAAAGACCTCTTAAAATGGAATTATTCCGCTCTACTACATATACATTCTTCCAATGAGCAAACACAATCGGCGGGGGATGGCCATGTTGACATGGCTCTTGTTTTAATTAATCATTTGCAGACTTTTCTTAAGTCCTTTATGACGAAACCCTGGAATAACAGAGTTAACACTTTATATATTAAAAATCCAGTTTATTACTTCAACGTCCAATTTTCGAATGATTACATAAATACATTTTGCAACATTATAAAATAAATCATTATAAGAATACAATATTTGAATTAACAATAGTTTGATCTTTTAATTAACAAATATGGGGAAATTAGCTTTAAATAACTCACTTTGCATAAGAGGTACCATTTTAACAATTCAAATAATTATAATATTACTATTACATAGTACCTAACAAATTATATCAATTTACATATTTAGAATAGATTTTATAAACTTTAATGAATTATGAAATATAATAAAAGTACATACCTGGAATAACAGAGTTAACACTTTATATATTAAAAATCCAGTTTATTACTTCAACGTCCAATTTTCGAATGATACTGGGACAGTTGAAGCTGGAAGTTTTGTTCAACTCTGTTAAACCATATGCAAATAAACATTAATGTATAAAATGTCCTAAGAAGGAAACATTAGGATGATTTCCTGCAAAAGTAACTATTTTTGTTTAACTATATATTTAGGCATTTAGATAAAGATAGAAAAGAAAGGAGTAAGCTGACTGTTTATCAAGACTTGTTTGTTTAAGTGCTAATTGTCACTTATTGTAGCTTGGCTGTAAAGCTTGATATAAGTTACTTTAACAAGTCTTTGTTAGACAGCTTACATAAAATAAAACTAAAGTGAAAAACACTATTTTTTAGTAAAATTGTAACTATTTTAAAGTTACCAAAATAAAACTACTATATTTGAAATCTACATTTAGAAACAAAGATTTTGATATAAAATATGAAATATCTATTTTAAAAATAATGATTGTGATGTAAATTATCACAATCATTCATAATGTAAAAATATGGATCATAATATATTGGCTGAATTTAGCCGAAAGTAGTTTGGCAAGACATCAGTGAAAATATTGAAAATATGTTCCGATGACATGAAAAAACAATGTTTTACAATGAAAATACGAAAAGTGACAATATGCATTTTCTTTCAACAATATTTCTCAATATTTTATTAATTATAAGTATTATATAATTATATATTTGTATCACTATAGCTAGAAATCAACTGTAAGACTAACCATGTTGCTAAGCAAACCATACTGTGTTATATTTAGATTGTTAAATAAATGGTGAATTATAATTCTATATTTAAGAAAGCTGGAGATGGCAGAGTCTTGTGATAATGAAATTTTCCGTAAAGCTATTGTTAAGAATTATGTGGCAGTCAAGAAGTATTTACATCCTGATCCTATTATTGATTGTGAAACAGGCTTTGAATTACTCACTGTCGCAGACAGAAGGAATATCCAGGTACGATATATAATAGTTTAGAGGCAGTGCAATTTAGATTACTTTATTCAATTGTCAGTATTTGATGACATGTGTGTCATTGTGATTTTTTTTTATTTTAATTGTTGATTGTAATATAATTCCTAAGAAATAATCTTATTTCATGCTTAGAACTTTCATTTGAAATATTCTTTAACAATATATCATTATTTCTGCATAAATTATTTCAAAAATAGAACTTGGTAAGCAAATGAAACAAAAATTAAACACTTACCGAACGTATTAAAATTGTTATCAACAAGTTGATATAAAGGTAAAAAATATGAATCTTATTCATAAAATACAATGTTACAGGGTAAGGATCCAACTGATAAGAATGAAACGATATTGAGAAAAGTAATATCCAAAGGTGCTAATGGTTACACAGATTTTAAGGAGCGTCTTAAAAAGACTTGGCAGACTGAATTGTTAGAGCTGATCATTTGTGCAGAGAATGGCCAGGACACAAAAGAGATTGAGAGTCGGCTTAGGAAAACTGCACTGTTATGTCCAGAGTATATCAAACAAAGAGGTGGTAAGTCAATTATGTTATGCTTGCGTGAGCACTGTGTTCAGTGGTGATGATTTTTGACTGTAAGCATGTCGATTGTTCTTTCATTGTCTGTTAACATTGTGTTCAGTGGTGAAGATTTATGACTGCAAGCATGTCGATTGTTCCATTATTGTCTGTTAACATTGTGTTCAGTGGTGAAGATTTTTGACTGTAAGCATGTCGATTGTTCCATCATTGTCTGTTATCATTGTGTTCAGTGGTGAAGATTTATGACTGCAAGCATGTCGATTGTTCATCATTGTCTGTTAACATTGTGTTCAGTGGTGAAGATATATGACTGCAAGCATGTCGATTGTTCATCATTGTCTGTTAACATTGTGTTCAGTGGTGAAGATATATGACTGCAATCATGTCGATTGTTCATCAGGCCGTCCTTAAAAAAATGTTTATTTGCAGTAACCCGACCCAGAATTTTTTAAAGGTGGGTAGGTAGGTAGATTTTTTTTTCTATTGAACTGTACTCCCAAATAAACATGGAATTTCAAAATGCTGGACAATATTATATATGCTTTGATAATCTGGTAACAATTAATAAATTGACAACTGAATTCTAATTTAATAAGAACTACATTTTATTTCTTCTGTTAACCTTTAAAAGAACGAAAACAAAACAAGACATAATTTTCTGATTCAAAAAAAATTTTTTTTATCCAGACCATGAAAAAAAATTTGAGTAGGGGCAAAATTTGTGAGTCGGTCGCATGTGACAGTCTGCAAGCATGTCAATTGTTCCATCATTGTCTGTTAACAACATCTTCACCTGACCCAAATTATCGATAAATAACAATTTTTACAGAAATGATTTAAAGTGGGCCTCCTAAAATATTTTTCCCTTAGATACCGTTACACCCTTGTTGGTTTTTGTTTGATACGTAAGTAGGCCATGTTTAGCTTAAGATAAAAAGTTACCTTTACAAACCTTCTATTTATAAGGTATTGTGCATGAGGCAGCATGTTCTTTTCTGCTACAAAAGTCTGTGGCATTGCGCAAGGAACTTTAAACATGATATGCTATATTTAAGAAATGATATCGGTTTGTGCGGTATTTATCGGCTTTTTACACCAGTGCATAGGAAGGCAGAATTGGTGAAATCACAAACAATATTTTTTTCTGTTCCATTTCGCATCCCAACACGTTGTGGTACAGTGGAACACGTTATAATAACCTAGGACTTAATACGTGCGATTTTTATGTAAACATTTACAAAACATAGAGAAAGATCTTTGAGAATTTATAAGGAATGCATTATTTGACATCCAAAGGAAAATAAAATATGTTTGTATGGAAAGGTATTTAAGTAAAAATTCCATTCATGTAAATAACTCATTTTGCTTGTAAATTAAATCCATGTAATTTTTCTCATGGAAAATTATGCTATTACTAATAGCATAATTTTCCATGAGAAAAATGAGACAAAGAAATAACAAACTGGGACAAAGAATACTAATTATAATTATGTCTCAAGAATAAGTCATTTACATGAATTTTAATTTACCAGCAAGAAAAAGTTATTTCCATGGATTGAATTCATACATAAATACCCTTCCACATGTCTCGGTACAATAGTGATCAAGTCTAACAACCATTTTTAATGTAAAAATATCCATGGATGAACAAATACTAGTATTATTTGTGAACATGCTGCCCACGTCTGATCTTATTAGAAAATAAGTACAGTAAACTTTTTTTTTTTTTTTTTTTTCTTTCAGGCCCCGAAGGTGACCCCATTTATTGCCTCCGTCGCATGACTATTTAAGGGTCGGAGGTCCATCCCTTAACAGTCTTACAATAATGTGTTAAAACATGAAAAGTTAATATAGTATTAACATAAAGTAATTTACGGCAAAACTTTTTTATTTGAAAAATTGAATATGTAAAGGAGGTTATAAGTTCAAGACATAGAAAAATATTACTAAATCTACATTATGCCTTAAACAAAAACATAATTACTTTTTTCTATATTTATGAGTAATACACAAACTAATGATACTAATGGGGTTAGCTAGGAGGCTTGACGATAGAATAAATAGACAAACGAAAAAGGATGATTATTTACAAAAGAAAACAACAATATCACACAACAAAAACATCAAAGACAAATACTTTGCGGCCAGGGCACGTTCAAAAATACTACAAACATGAATATATTCTTCCATGTATGCTCAAACAAAGGTAGGTGACTGAAAAGACAAAGGTCGCTCCTAACATCAACATACGAACAAGTATTTTGATGATTCACATTAATCGTTATCAGATTGGAACAAAAAAATTGGATAGGTCTCTATTATATTATGATTAATGACATATATTTAAAATAGTATGCCAGTCTTTTTTAAATTGGTCATTACAGTAAACTTAGTTTGCAAATAAATTGAATATAAAAATAATAGCAAACTATCAAGAGAAGAAGTGTCTTTATATTTTATGCCTGAAATAATGCACCAGTTAAGCTTGAAAGTCTCCATATGTCCTTTATTGTGTTGGCGTGATGTGAAACCCAACCAAAAGAAATATTTGGCTGTAGCAATTTGCCTGGTGAACTTTTGTGAAAATGGAATATTTATTTAATTTATTTTTTGTGTCGCCTTGAAAAGGTGACATATAGGGGTTACTTTTGTCGGCGGTGTCGTTGGCGTCTGTGTCGGCGTCGTTGTCGGCGTCCCCTAAAGCTTGTCCGGAGCATAACTCAGTCACTATAAGTCTGATTGACTTCAAACTTGGTATGCATGCTTCTTTCAATAACCCGAAGTGCAGTGCACAAGGACCGGTACTCTGCAGTTTCTTATTTTTTGAGTTATTGCCCTTTGTTAATTTTCATACTTTAATTTTGTCCGGGCCATTTCTCTTCAACTAAAAAAGCTATGGACCTGAAACTTTCATAGGATGATAGATCTCATTAAGAAGAAATGCAGTGCACAAGAACCAGTACTCTGCACTTTCCTAATTTTTGAGTTATTGCCCTTTGTTAATTTTCATACTTTATTTTTGTCCGAGCCATTTCTCCTAATGTATAAAAGCCATGGACTTGAAACTTCATAGGATGATAGGTCTCATTAAGAAGAAGTGCAGTGCACAAGAATTGGTACTCTGCATTTCTTATTTTTTGAGTTATTGCCCTTTGTTTATTTTCATACTTTAATTTTGTCCGGGCCATTTCTCCTTAAGTATAAAAGCTATGGACTTGAAACTTCATAGGATGATAGATCTCATTATTAAGAAGTGCAGTGCACAAGAATCGGTACTCTGCATTTCTTAATTTTTGAGTTATGGCCCTTTGTTAATTTTCATACTTAATTTTTGTCCAGGCCATTTCTCCGAAAGCAGGCTTTCAAGCGGGCCCTACTTTTCCTTCTTTTCCTACTTTTCCCTACTTTTTTTGTTTGACCCCTACTTTTCCCTACTTTTTACTTGAAATGCCCTACTATCCCTACTTTTTTTTAAGAAAAAAGCTCGAGGATAATTGATAAAAAAATCCAGTATAAGCAGTAGATTGATTTTGATATAATCTTTATCTCAAATTTAATAAGAACCAGATGCAAGTTTAATTGTAGGAAAAAGTTGATGGAAGTAGGTCATCAGTGGTGCAAGAGGGGTTCCACGATGAGGATGGTTTTAGCTGACATGGCAGAATCAGCGACTTTAGGTGAGTTTCCTTCTATAGAAATATTACTTAGTGTTTAATTATATTTTATGTTTCATTTAAAAATTATAATATGTTTTTGTACACAGACTAGCTTCTCAATTGTTTCATTACAAAATTATAATATGTTTTTGTACACAGACTAGCTTCTCAATTTTTTCATTTCAAAATTATAATATGTTTTTATACACAGACTAGCTTCTCAATTGTTTCATTTCAAAATTATAATATGTTTTTATACACAGACTAGCATTTCAAAATTATAATATGTTTTTATACACAGACTAGCATTTCAAAATTATAATATGTTTTTATACACAGACTAGCTTCTCAATTGTTTCATTTCAAAATTATAATATGTTTTTGTACACAGACTAGCTTCTCAATTGTTTCATTTCAAAATTATAATATGTTTTTATACACAGACTAGCATTTCAAAATTATAATATGTTTTTATACACAGACTAGCTTCTCAATTGTTTCATTTCAAAATTATAATATGTTTTTGTACACAGACTAGCTTCTCAATTGTTTAATTTCAAAATTATAAAATAGATTCTCAATTGTTTCCCAATGATGTTTATGCTGAGGGACAATACTTGCCAACATATTTGAGCATATATAGATTTTAGACAATGTTTGGCATATTGGCAAGTATTGAAGTTGCTCACTGTGATCATTTTGTCCTGAATTTTCATTTGGAATGAAAGAATACTGGAAAAATTTGTAAGTGAGTGTTTCTGAAAAATATGTATGCTTTAATTAGATAGAATTTTAATAGCTTTAATATGGTGAGGGATTAGGAATCTTTATCTTATAACAGATAATTTAAGAATAATTAATTGTGTGTTTAGGCTTTAAGTGTGCCAATTTTAGTTATAACCATTAAAGATGTGAGAGATTGTTGTTTGCATCCAAAGTTTACTTATCTCTATCTTGAAATATATATAATATAAATATGGCATAAATACTCATCTCTACCTTGGAATTATTGAGACCTACTTACATTTCTCGCAAGTGTCATTAAGTTTCTTTTTAAATTCCATTTTTATAACAATTTTTTATTTCAGGTTCATTTAATTTATAAAAATTAACTTCACAATGCCACATGGACTCAACAAATTTAACAATGCCCATTGCAAAAAGATGAAAATGGACATGAACTCCATTCCTAGTGTAAAAATGACCCTAACTATGAATACAGTGGCTACTGTTCGTCTCTGTTGCAAATCTGTCCAATGTTCAAATAATGGAGTCAAGCAAATTCATGTTTTAACACCTATCCTTGTTCTAGCCTGTGTTTCACATATTATGCTAGCTAAAAACCATGTTTTTGCACATAACATTTTTTCTTGTTTGTATTTTGTAACAACATTACTATCTTAAACAAGGTTTTAACACATTTCCTGTTTCTAGTCTGTGTACAAAAAACATGCCTTACTAAATGTTTAATGTTTGCCTAAAAGTCTGTGTTCTGACATATTCATTGTTTATAATTTTCTGTTATTATTTGGAATTGGATCTAATAAAAAAATACCAATTCCAGGTTGATGTCCAGTTTCATCCCGTTGTGGAATCCCTATTGAGACACTGCTGACTGGTTTCCTAAATGAAGAAAATGCCATGGATATTAGTTGATAAGGGTCTGTATTTGTTTTTGCATCAACTTTGGAAAAAAGGTGAGTAGAGAGTCCTACTATCCCTACTTTTAGGCTCTGAAAATCCCTACCTTTCCCTACTTTTTTACAAAAAATTTCCTTCTTTTATCCCTACTTTTTAGCTCACCTGTCACAAAGTGACAGGGTGAGCTTTTGTGATCGCTTTTCGTCCGGCGTCCATCCGTCGTCCGTCCGTCGTCTGTCCGTAAACTTTTACTTTAAATGACATCTCCTCATAAACCACTAAGCCAATTTCATCCAAACTTCACAGGAATGTTCCTTTGGTGGTCACCTTTAAAAATTGTTCAAAGAATTTAATTCCATGCAGAACTCTGGTTGCCATGGCAACCAAAAGAAAAAACTTTAAATATCTTCTATTAAAAAAAAGAAAGAGCTAGAGCTTAGATATTTGGCATGAAACATCTTCTAGTGAGTGTCTACCAAGTTTGTTCAAATAAAAGCCCTGGGGTCAAAATTGGCCCCGCCCCAGGGGGTCATTGATTTTCCCAATATGCATATAGTAAAAACTTAAAAAATCTCCTTTTAAAGAACCCAAAGAGCTAGAGCTAAGATATTTAGCATGAAACATCTTCTAATGAGTGTCTACCAAGTTTGTTCAAATAAAAGCCCTGGGGTCAAAATTGGCCCACCCCAGGGGGTCATTGATTTTCCCTATATGCATATAGTAAAAACTTAAAAAATCTTTTTTAAAGAACCAAAGAGCTAGAGCTAAGATATTTAGCATGAAACATCTTCTAATGAGTGTATACCAAGTTTGTTCAAATAAAAGCCCTGGGGTCAAAATTGGCCCCGCCCCAGGGGGTCATTGATTTTCCAATATGCATATAGTAAAACTTAAAAAAAATCTCCTTTTAAGAACCCAAAGAGCTAGAGCTAAGATATTTAGCATGAAACATCTTCAAATGAGTGTATACCAAGTTTGTTCAAATATAAAAGCCCTGGGGTCAAAATTGGCCCGCCCCAGGGGGTCATTGATTTTCCCAATATGCATATAGTAAAAACTTAAAAAATCTCCTTTTAAAGAACCCAAAGAGCTAGAGCTAAGATATTTAGCATGAAACATTCTTCTAATGAGTGTATACCAAGTTTGTTCAAATAAAAGCCCTGGGGTCAAAATTGGCCCCGCCCCAGGGGGTCATTGATTTTCCCAATATGCATATAGTAAAAACTTAAAAAATCTCCTTTTAAAGAACCCAAAGAGCTAGAGCTAAGATATTTAGCATGAAACATCTTCTAATGAGTGTCTACCAAGTTTGGTTCAAATAAAAAGCCCTGGGGTCAAAAATTGGCCCCACCCCAGGGGTCATTGATTTTCCCTATATGCATATAGTAAAAACTTAAAAAATCTTTTTTTAAAGAACCCAAAGAGCTAGAGCTAAGATATTTAGCATGAAACATCTTCTAATGAGTGTATACCAAGTTTGTTCAAATAAAAGCCCTGGGGTCAAAATTGGCCCCGCCCCAGGGGGTCATTGATTTTCCCAATATGCATATAGTAAAAACTTAAAAAATCTCCTTTTAAAGAACCCAAAGAGCTAGAGCTAAGATATTTAGCATGAAACATCTTCTAATGAGTGTCTACCAAGTTTGTTCAAATAAAAGCCCTGGGGTCAAAATTGGCCCACCCCAGGGGGTCATTGATTTTCCCTATATGCATATAGTAAAAACTTAAAAAATCTTTTTTTAAAGAACCCAAAGAGCTAGAGCTAAGATATTTAGCATGAAACATCTTCTAATGAGTGTCTACCAAGTTTGTTCAAATAGAAGCCCTAAGGTCAAAATTGGCCTCGCCCCAGGGGGTCATTGATTTTCCCTATATGTACATGTATATAGTAAATAATTAAAAAATCTTCTTTTAAAGAACTCAAAGAGCTAGAGCTAAGATATTTAGCATGAAACATGTTCTAATGGGTGTCTACCAAGTTTGTTCAAATAAGAGCCCTGGGGTCAAAATTGGCCCCGCCCCGGGGGTCATTGATTTTCCTTATATATGTGTATATCAAAAACTTAAAAAGTATTCTTTGAAAAAACCTAAATAGCTAGAGTTAAGATATTAAGCATGAAACATCTTCTAGTGAATGTCTACAAAGTTTGTTCAAATAAAAGCCCTGGGGTCAAAATTGGCCCTGCCTGGGGGTCAATTGATTTCCTTATATGTGTATACGGGAAAAAACTTAAAAAACATCTTTTGAAAAAACCCAAACAGCTAGAGTTTAGATATTAAGCATGAAACATGTTCTTAGTAAGTGTCTACAAAGTTTGTTCAAATAAAAGCCCTGGGGTCAAAACTGGCCCCGCCCCAGGGGTGTCATTGTTTTTAACTATATGTGTATAGTAAAAACTTAAAAAATTCTTCTTTAAAAAAACACAATGAGCTACAGCTTAGATGTTTAGCATGAAACATCTTCTTATGGGTGTCTACCAAGTTTGTTCAAATAAAAGCCCTTGGTTAAAATTGGCCCTGCCGGGGGTAGAGGAGGGCAGATCATTGTTTTTCATTAAAGTGCGTATATCATGAAACGTCTTCTTATATGTGTCTTCCAAGTTTGTTCAAAT